CAGCAAAAGAAAATGAATACCATGTACAAGAAACCAACAATGATCTCAAACCTCAGCTACTGATAAATAAGAGCTACGAGAGACTGTCGATTGAAGGAAACAACAACATATGTATGGATGTATGATCCAGTATGTGAATGTATGACTTACAACAATAACAACATAACCAGTGTAATCCCACATAGTGGGGTCTGGGGAGGGTAGTGTGGATGCAGACCTTACCCCTATTCTTGTGAGCATCGAGAGGTTGTTTCCAATAGACCCTCGGCTCAAGGAAAACATAAACACAATAATAACTAAAAAGAGATATGGTAATGTAGAAGCGATGAAAGGAAACAGTAATAACAACAAAATAATAAAGTGACTTGAAGAGGAAAAAAACAACACACAGCACTCGAAATCTACAAATAAGATAACATGAGACTACGTACTAATACTACTGGTATGAAAAGAGGAATTCTAGACTACCTACTGCTGGTATGTAAATGTATGACTTGCCTTATCCAAAATGATGCGGTCCCACTTCAGTGAATGCAAAGCTAACTTCCTCCTGGACACAACTGAATTATCAATAGAACCACTGTTGCTCATTTTTTCTGTAGAATCTGTTTTCTGGTCCAATATTTCTCCCAGAGGTTTTAAGTTCTTACTCTGCTGTTTTGACGGCGTCATATACTTCTTATAATCAACCTCAATGGTGGAGTAGGTAGTAATAACAAAATCATATTCCGCCAATTTGTGCATATGTTTCTCCCTGTTAGTGCCATGATAAACAAGTATTTTGTTGCTACTATTAGTCGTGCAACGATCAATCTCACTAAACCATTGCATTACTCCAACAAAAGGACATATAACAAGAGTTCCTTTGACTGCCTGGGAAGTACTTGGTAAAGATGACAATATACTGGAATTACTACTATTTGTTCTTTGTAATTCGCATTTAGCTAGCACAAGTGCTATGGCTTGAACAGTCTTCCCCATTCTCATTTCATCAGCAAGAATACCTCCTCTTGCTGTAGATTCTTCTTGCTTTAATGACCAAGCCAACCACTCATTTTGGTACCTCAGCAATGGCAATATAAAATCGGATGGTGGCTCGGTTGTTTCAGCTAAAACCAACACGTTCTGAGTGCTAACTTTCACTGATTTACACTGATTATGAAGTGTAATCCGCAACTGAATGAATTGAGGAAGACGAAATTGAGAGCAGAAAAAAGGTAGAGAATAAAGAGAACAATCTGATTACTTCTCTGCTTAGCAATGTCGGTTACAACTAATAAAATGAATGTATGCGTATACTTATACTAATATCTATTGACTCCTAACAGATGATAGCTATAAATAAGAAAAATAACATAATTACCCCTGTAGCTAACTAATGATCAGGGAACTATAGTACAATTAACTGACTCCTTTGTAACCCCCACAACCTAAGAGAGATGAAGATGTTCTTCATCCCTAGCTTGGAAATCAGACAACTATGCTGAACCACAGTGAGCCCTTTGGTAAGAAGGTCGGCTAATTGTTCAGAAGAGGCAAGGTGAAGAAGATGAACCAACCCAAGTTGCACTTTCTCCCGAATAAAATGGCAATCGATGTCGATGTGTTTGGTACGTTCATGGAACCAGGATTCGCAGCTATCTGAATAGCAGATTTGCTGTCACAATGCATAGAAACATGCAGCTGAATCTCCACACCCAACTCCTTGAACAAACCTACAACCCAGACTACCTCTGCCATAGTCAAAGCTAGACTTCGATACTCAGCCTCATCGGAGCTCCGTGAAACAATGGCCTATTTCTTCGACTTTCAAGAGATGAGGGAATTACCAAACATCACAAGGTAACCAGTAACTGAATGCCTAGTGTTGGGACACGAGGCCCAATCAGCATCATACTAAGTAGTAAGCTGAGAAGATATCTCAGAATGCATGAGAATGCCAAGACTAGGGAAACCATTAATGTACCTCACAAGCCTGAGAGCAGCCGTTATGTGTGAACATTTGGGAGAGTGCATGAACTGACTCAGACATTGCACAGTAAAAGTAATGTTTGGTCGAGTGATTGTCAGATATAAGAGTTGACCAACCAACCTCTGATAGGCAGTAGGATCAGCAAAAGCAGAATCAGCAGAGGAACCAACATGCATATCAAACTCTGTGGTGGTGAGATTTTGGTTAAGTTCCATAGGAGCACCAACTGTCTTCGCACCAAGCAACCCCATGTCAGAGACAAGCTTAAGTGCATACTTTCTTTGATGCATCAAAATTCCTTCTTTACTGCGCGCAAACTCTATGCCAAGGAAGTACTTCAATTCACCAAGATCCTTGATCTTAAAAGCCTTCTGCAAATAATCCTTAGTCTTTTGAATCAAGAAAATATCATCTCCCGTGATCAAAAGATCATCAACATAGGTTAAGACTACCACCAGCTTGCCACGTAACCTCTTGGTGAACAAGGAATAGTCAAGAGGACTTTACGTAAAACCAGAAGAGATCAAGGCTGAGGTAAGTTTAAGGTTCCATTGCCTAGAAGCCTGCTTAAGACCATATAAGGACTTAAGCAGTTTGCACACATGTTGAGAACTGGCACCACTCCTGAATCCTTGTGGAAGACACATGTACACTTCTTCAGTCAAATCTCCCTGCAAAAAGGCATTATAGACATCCATTTAATGGATCTCCCAATTCCTCATGGCAGCCAAAGAAATAACATCTCTAACATTGATCATTTTGACCACAGAGGAGAAAATTTTCTAATAATCAATTCCTTCTTATTGACTATACCCCTTTGGCAACCAACCTAGCTTTGAACATCTCCACCTCACCAGTGGCCTTATATTTGATTTTGAAAACTCATTTGCAACCAATGGCTCGCTTGCCATGTGGCAAAGGGACAACCAACCAAGTCTTATTGTCTTCCAAAGCTTGGATTTCAGCTTGCATAGCCTCCACCCACCTTGGATCCTTGACTGCATCAGAATAATTCCTAGGCTCAACCTCAGAAGAAAACTTTATCAGAAAACATTAATACTTAGCAGACAAATGACCGTAAGATAAGACATCTGAAAGAGGATAGGAACAAGAGTGTGCTCCAGGTTTCCTGTCAGTCCTGACATAATCTTTAATCCAAATTGGAGGCTTAAGAGTTCTAGTAGGTCGATGTAGAATACTAACAATGGGAGAAGACTGATCAGTATACAGCTGTGGAGCAACGGGATTATCAGCAGGAACAAACTCAACCTCCTGAACAGACTCAACCTCCTGGGGATCCCTATGATCAACCATGTGTGCCGGTGATGATCCATCAGTATGTTGGACATGAGCAGATGAAAACATAGGAGCATTGGAGTGACTATCTACTGCAATAAGAAACTCATCTGCTTCATGATCAGATGGCAAAATATTCACACCAGGAATGATTGAGGTTGAATTCTTATTAGCCAGCAAAAAAGGAAAATTTTCGTCATGAAACACCATATCTCTGCTAATGAAACAAACATTATTTTCCATATCATAAAGCTTGTAGCCTTTCTGATAAACTCCATATCCTAGAAGGATAGACTTAATGGCCCTTGGGCCAAATTTATCTTATCTTGGTAGGACAGTGGCAAAGCATAAACAACCAATCACCCGCATGTGTGCCAAGGAAGGGGATCTACCATACAACATCTCAAAAGGAGATTTGTGTCCTAGAACTGTTGAAGGCATTCTATTCACAATGTATGTAGCAGCTTCTACACAACACCCCCAAAACTTGACTGGAATACCACCCTGGAACTTAATGGCTCTAAGCAGTCTCTAATAGGTGCCTATGTTTCCTTTCCACAACCCCATTCTGTTGGGGTGTGTAAGGACAGGAACTCTGGTGTAAGATTTCATGCAGTTTGAACAAGTCACCATAACTACTATTAAAAAATTCAGACCCATTGTCAAATCTGAAATATTTAATCTTTTTACCAAATTGATTAAGAATCATAGAAATAAAAGTCTTGAGCAATTCAGAAACATCAGATTTGACTATTAATAAGAAGGTCCATGTCCATCTTGAATGGTCATCAGCCAGTATCTCAATCCATTATAAGTAGTAGCTTTATAATGTCCCCACACATCTATGTGTACCAAATGAAAAGATTCATCTACTCTACTATCACTGATTGGAAATGAAACTCTGGTTTGCCTAGCCAATAGGCATACATCACAATGATGTAAAAGAAAATCAGCCATATTTGTAAAAACAGAAATCTTCCTAAGTACTGCCATTGGAACATGGCCTAATTTTCTATGCCAAACTTCTGGACTTCCTTCCTTAATAGCCATACACCTCCTGTTTTCCAAAATGTTGCTTTTAGTCGGACAATCCAATAGATAGAGTCCATCTAGCTCTCTACCAGTCACCTTCACTTTCTCAGTGCAAAGGTCCTGAAAAATATAGAATCCAGGAAAGAACAAACCACAGCAGTTCAATTCTCTTGTTACTTTGGAGACAGATAAGAGATTAAATTTAAAAGATGGCACACACAACACATCTTTGATCACATCACCTCCAGTCAACTGACAATCACCAACATGTGTTATTTGATCAGAATCACCTGTTGGCAATTGTATATTTTCTTTAACACCATTAAGTAACAATTTGTCATTACTAATCATGTGATTAGTGGCCCCGGTATCAACTATCCATTGAATACTATTAACCTGTGGAAAAATAGGATTACCTGCCAAATGAGCACTAGCATTTGAAGTTGAAACCTTGCATAGCATATTCAGAAGCATAGAGTATTGCTCCTGAGTGAATGCTGGAGGAGCAGTATTCTCATGCACCACATTTGCCTTCTTCTTAGATTTAAAATCAACAGGGTAACCAATGAGCTTATAACAGTTCTCTTTCAAATGCTCTTTCGTGCCACAGTAATCACACTTCATTAGTTTATAGTATTTATCCTAAGAATGACCTCTTAGATGACAAAACTCACATTCAACATTATAATTCTTCTTAGATTTAGAAGTAGCTCCTCCTTGTGATGTAAAAAAAAGCAGTTGGCCCAATGCCAGTGTTAGCATACTGATTTCCCGCGACTATCTTCGGACTTTCATCTTGACCAATCATAGCATACGCCTGGCTTACAGTAGGCAAACGTGTCTTTAATAGAATCTGACTACGACCTTTGTTGTAGCCCTCATTGAGGCCCATAAGAAAATAATAGAGCCTCTGATGTTGTAAATGCTTAAGAAATTCTTTAGATTTAGGACAACCGCAAGGAGGAGGCATAAGAGAGTCATACTCGTCCCATAGATCTTTCAATCGAATAAAATATACTGATATAGAGGATGTGCCCAGAGTAAGAGTAAATATTTTCCTATGCAATTGATATTCACGAGATCCATTTACCTTGTCAAAACGCTCCTCCAAGGCTGACCAAATGTCATGAGCATTTGAAGAAAGCAGGACTCCAGTCACCAATTCCTTGCTAACATTACACATTATCCATGAAATTACGATTGCATTGCACCGATCTCATAACTTCCATAGTTCTGGCTCAAAATCCTCTTTTGAGATAGTGCCGTCCACAAAACCGAGTTTATTTTTCCCAAGCAGTGACAATTTTATAGCTCGACTCCAAATTATGTAATTATCCATGCCGGTCAACAAAAAACCTATGAACAGGGATCCTGGGCCATCAGACGGGTAGAGATAGTATGGGTGATTATGGTTAATCACCATCGGTCCTCCACCGTAAATACCTCCAGTAACTCTGTTTTCCTTATCGGCAACATCATCTTCAATCGCCATGAAAACAACTAAATGAATTGAGAAGACAAAATTGAGAGAAGAAGAAAGGTAGAGAACAGAGAGAACAATCTGATTACTTCTCTGCTTAGCAATGTCAATTGCAACTAACAAAATGAATGTATGCGTATACTTATACTAATATCAATTGACTCCTAACAGATGACAGTTGTAAATAAGAAAAATAACATACTTACCCTTGTAGCTAACTAATGATCAAGAAACTGTAGTACAATTAACTAACTCCTTTACAGTGAGTATTACCTAAATCTACATGTTTTGAATAAATTTTTGTAAGCCAATTATACATTTCTTCTTCCCATATATCCCACATCAAAACTGATAGTCTTTTCTTTGTGTTCCTTTCACATTCTTCTTTTCTACCTTCTATCCTTTTTCATCAATAAAGCCATCTCCGCCATCAGATCAAGATATCCACCATCTGAATCAAGAACCCCATTCCCTTGGTCTTCTGTCAACCAGTTGAATGGATTTTCAGATATATGTACTAATTATCAAATTAATTACAGAATTATCAAAAGGGTCACATTAAGTATTCAAAGCATGCGCATTTATGGGTGTAAGAATTTCTGGACAGAGTCAGATTCAAGTTTATGGGTTCGAGTTCGAAATTCTACCATAAATCATTTGATTTATTGATACAACCTAGGGAGAACCACACCCCAAAAGCTAGCTATTAGGGTGGGAGAGCCCAAGGCTATATAAACCCCACATCAGCACATTGCAATACCGATGTGGGACTCAAGTTCCATACCTTGCAATGAACTATAACAAACCTCCACGCTCCACATCCGTCGTCCCGATGGCTGTGCGCTAGACTTTTCTAGCCTCGGGCAAACACTGCAATGCCGGCGTCACCATCCATGGCACGGTGGGCAAGGAAGGCGGTGGTGGCTCTGATACCATTGATACAACCTAGGGAGAACCACACCCCAAAAGCTAGCTATTAAGGTGGGAGAGCCCAAGGCTATATAAATCACACATCAGCACATTGCAATACCGATGTGGGACTCAAGTCCTATACCTTACAATGGATCATAACAAACCACCACGCTCTGCATCCGTCACCCCGACGGTTGTGCGCTAGATTTTTCTAGCCACGGGCGAACACTGCAATACTAGCATCACCATCTATAGAACGGTGGGCACGGAAGGCGGTGGGTGGCTCTGATACCATTGATACAACCTAGGGAAAATCACACCCCAAAAGCTAGCTATTAAGGTGGGAGAGCCCAAGGCTATATAAACCCCACATCAGCACATTGCAATACCGATGTGGGAATCAAGTCCCATACCTTGCAATGGATCATAACAAACCACCACGCTCTGCATCCGTCGTCCCGACGGCTGTGCGCTAGACTTTTCTAGCCCCGGGTGAACACTGCAATATCGGCGTCACCATCCATGGTACGGTGGGCACGAAAGACGGTGGGTGGCTCTGATACCATTGATACAACCTAGGGAGAACCACACCCCAAAATCTAGCTATTAAGGTGGGAGAACCCAAAGCTATATAAACCTCACATCAGCACATTATAATACCGATGTAGGACTCAAGTCCCATACCTTGCAATGGAACGATGTGGGTTTATATAGCCTTGGGCTCTCCCACCTTAATAGCTAGCTTTTGGGGTGTGGTTCTCCCTAGGTTGTATCATTTACTGAGTTCAAAAGCTAATTTGTACTTATTTAGTAGAAATTTTAACAAATGTAAAGCTAGGTCTTGCATGCCTATAACATACTAATAAGATAACAGTTCATCAAAACATGCATAGCGTGCCTACGGAATACCTTACTCACTAGGGTTTGCATGCCTATAACATACTCGTAACAGAGCTCTCATGGTATTCTAATTTACATGTCATTATTCTTTCTATTTTTTGGGTTCATTTCGAACATCATCCATTTTCACTCAAACTTTCAAGAATTCAAGAAATGGGGAAGAAAACTTAAAAGAAAAAAATAAGAAGAATGAAGAAAACCGAACCTGGAATTGAAGGATCTATTCTCCTCAAAACAGAGAGAAATCAGAGCTTTTGAATGAAGAAGGAGAGGTGAAGTTGTTGATCTTTTGTTTTCACAGAGTGGTGAGAGAGCTAGTTGCAGAGGTGCAGGGAAGTTGGGCGGGAAGGATTGTTATATGTTATAGAGAGAGAACTAATAACGGCATCAGTTTTTTTTTTCAAGAGTGACAACTACCGGAATATCTAAAAATATGAATTTGTCTAATTTAAAAGAAAAAGTGTATACGGTCAAAATCGGGCTCGATTACTATATGACATATCGGACTCGGAACACCCGGTTGACTTGAGCTTATCTTGGCTCTCTTCTTTGACAAATAGAACTTTGCTTAGATGGTTTGGCACGCTTAGCTTTCGATCGAGAAAGATGGGAATTTGCGAAAGCGGGTGGTTGAAGATCGACCCCGAGTCTCGTCGAACAAGAACACGAGGTCAGAATGTCCGTCCTCGAAAATATTGAGTCCATGATCCCGGAATCGACCCTCACCCCGAGTAAGCTCGAGGAAACATTGCCAGTATAACCAATAGAAGACCGAAATAACGGAAGGCCAAAATATTCGTAACCGGTCAGGTATCACCGCGGAAATCTCGGCACGTATCGATAGGGAACAGGCAAATCAGAAAACCAGAAGATTTTCACCTTTTATAGAATTGTACCTAAAATAGTACTCCTCTATTATATAAAAGGGGTCTGATTACTTATAAAGCACATTGTAACACACATTCCAAAGTAATATATTTTTATTTTTAGTTCTTATTATTCTCTTGTCATTCCATTCTGATATCGATAAAAACTCTTTTGGCTCAAGGGTGGCTAACCTTCCAAGGCTAAGACTGTTCAACTTGTGTGGTTTGCATTTACTTTACCAGTGCTTATTTCAATTTTAATTTGATTTATCATTCTGTATCAAATTAGATCACGTATTCTTAAAACCACGTACAAATTTAATTGTTATCCAATTTTGAGGATAAACAGTTTGGCGCCCACCGTGGGCTAAGGATAATAGTGGTTATTTGATACAAATCTCCATAACTCACACTACTTTACACTTTCTCTTTGAAGTGTCTTTGACTCCAGGTTAAAAGACAAAGTGTCAAACTCTCAATCAACACCCCTATATGTTGACAACGAGTTCGGTCATCAAGGTGAAAATAACAACATAGCGCCCGGTAACGAGGTACCGCCTGCTGATCCCGTCGAAATTCCAGTCGCAGACCCAATTGATGCTTATTCACATGTGGCTATCGACGCTAACCTACCAACCGATCCCGAAAATAGCGTCTGTGGTGGAGCCCGATCAGCGGATCAAAATACGCAAAACATTAGTGGAGATGGGATCGGTTTAAAGGTAATCTTCAAAATGTTGCAAGATCAACGAGTGGCGATAGCCCAATTACAAAACCCGGGCCGCACACCGAGCAGAGCCAAACCCGATCCGCCCCGAGAAGTTACCTGCGGGGAAGAACCGGTTGCAGAAAGATCCAACGAGAACGAATCAGGGACTAACCCCGAGATCATAAAAATGCTCGAGGAACTGACAAAACGAGTGGAGTCGGAGGAAAAGAAAATCGAAGTTAATGACAAAAAAGTGGAAACCTATAATTTCAGGGTAGACCAGATCCCAGGAGCACCTCCAATATTGAAAGGCCTGGATTCCAAGAAGTTCGTGCAAAAGCCATTTCCTCTGAGAGCAGCTTCGAAGCCGATCCCCAAGAAATTCCGTATGCCCGAGATACCTATGTATAATGGAACGACTGACCCAAATGAGCATGTAACCTCTTATACATGTGCCATCAAAGGGAACGATTTGGAGAATGATGCGATCGAATCTGTTTTGTTGAAAAGTTTTGGAGAAACCCTCTCAAAGAGATCTATGATATGGTATCACAACTTACCTCCTAATTCTATTGACTCATTTGCTATGCTTGCATATTCTTTCGTGAAAGCACACGCTGGTGCCATCAAGGTCAAGACCAAGAAGTTCGACCTTTTCAAAGTAAAACAGAAAGATAATGAGATACTCAGAGAGTTTGTGTCTTGGTTTCAGATGGAACGGATGGACCTACCACCGATGGCTGATGACTGGGTTGTTCAAGCTTTCACTCAGGGACTCAATATTCGAAGCTCGGTGGTTTCACAATAGCTTAAGCAGAACCTGATAGAATATCCGATCGTTACCTAGGCCAATTTGCATAACCGGTATCAATCGAAAATCAGAGTCGAAGATGATCAAATCGGGGCCTCTCAGGGGTCTGTTTATCCTGTCACAAACGTTGATATATCTAAGAGAGACATTGACCGTGAACCAAGATCGAGCAGGGATCGTTATCAACCATACAATTGGGATCGAAGAGGTAACAGATCTGGGAGAAATCTCATAAGAAGTGAAAGGAGAAACGATCGAGGTCAACACAGTCGGGGACTCATGAGTAAAAACAACTTCGGCGAGCCCGTCGGGCCTAAAGAAGCACCGAGGTTATCAGCATACAAATTTAACATTGACGTTGATGCCATCGTATCAGCTATCGGACGTATCAAAGATACCAAATAGCCTCGACCTTTACAATATGATCCGTCCCAAAGGTATCCTAGGCAGATGTGTAAATATCATGGCACTCACGGCCACAGAACGGAGGATTGCTAACAATTGA